TCTCCTCTTTTATGGTCCCTGCTTGAAGAGCTCCAGCATAGCGGCGCACCAGCAATGTAAAAGCTTCTTGGCCTCAACATAGAAACGCGGATTGACAATTCTCGCAAACCTGTAGTCATTTTTCTCATTTTAATGTTCTGATGAGGCGCCTTGCACTCCCCAAATTCAAGATCTGCAAACACATGTGACATCAAAACAGGCATGCCCCTCTTCAGGGCTGCGCATGGAAACATCAAAAAATTATGAAAAATATTGAAAAATATAAAATATGAAGGCTGCCCAGCAACTCACATCGTCAGAATGGACGCGCAATGCCAGTTGCTTATCGACCATTCGAAGCCAATTCTGTAAACTTGGCGTCCTCTTGCAGACAGGAAAAGACAACAACATGTGCCTCACACGCCACACTTGATCCACGTCACTCCACGTGAACATTTCCGAAGGTGTGCAGCCGGGCAATTTCAAGGTGCTGTAGTCTGCTTCCAGTATCTGACGTCTCAGCTCTTGTTGCTCCTCCTCGGTTCCGTGCAACAACGAGGAAGCATACTCGAAGCAATCGATCCGGAACCCCCACAAAGCTACCTCTTGTCGAAGGGCTGCCTTACCTCCTGCTGCAAGGCAATCTTTGCAGGAAGCCGCGTTTCCTGCGCTCTCGCCCTTGCAGGTGCTACTGCGCATCCACAACACCTCCCCATCTTCTTGCCAGGCAAGTTTTGACAAGAGAGGTTTGTCAAATTCTTTGCCGTGTGGCATGCCAGCGTTGCGCCACTTCCTGACTGTCGCAGTGATCGGGGACAAAGCACACGCAGGACTGTCAACGCGCAGCCCTCTGCATTGCTGGCTGCTTTCAGTTGCGCTTGGATCTGAGGAAGTGCCTTTGCCACATGTTTTCTCGTGGTCGAGGAGGCGTCTCAAATTGTTCCGCTGCAGCAGGAGGAGCCGGTTGCATCCTTGGCATCTGGCCGGGTATTTGGACTCCGGTCTATCACTGATCAGTTGCCACCTCCCCGATCGATTCTCCGAAATCCAAGCCTTCAAAGAAAAATGCGGTGTAGTACTTCCTTTCGGGCGGCCACGATGCTTTTGCAGTTGACCAATCTCTGTTGCACTTTCAGCTTCGTTGCTGCCACCGCTTTCGTCAGGATGCGATGCGCTCAAATCTTCCTTCTTCTCATTGCCCGAAGCCATTGCCACCTTCTTTGCATCTTCTGCTGCTTCAAGCTCGGCAAAAAGACTATCACAAGCTTTGCAAACAGGCCGGGGCCCCTGGTTCACCAAGAACAGGAGCCACTTTCGCCAATGCCCGGCCTCCAACCAGCAGTGGAGCTCAAAATGCTTGGCTTGAAATATCTTGTGGAAATCAATCCCTCCTCCCTTTGCTCTTTCAGCACCGGCCTGGAGCCAGTCTTTTTCCAACTTTGGTCGCTTGCAAACCAGCTCGTCGGATGTAGTTGCCTGTTTGCGTTTCAAAGTGTTGGAAATCCGACTCTCTGCTGAGGTCGGGTTGGGAGGCGTCATCATTTCTTGCTCCGCTGCTTGTGTTCTTTTCAGTGATTGCGACGGGGTGGCTATGATGGCAGCAGGGTGGTCGGCTTGTTGCATGGATGCAATGAGCCAACGCAAGCGAACATCACTATAGAAACCGCCAGGGAGCTTCTCCGGAAACGGTTGCCTTTTCAGCAAGCATTTCGCACACTCGCGCGCTGCCAGGATGGTTCGAACACCACAGGACCAAGGGTCCCTTTGCAAAGGTTCTTGGCAGCGAACTAATTGGCATTGCACAGATTGATATTTCCATCCTCAGCGTATACTCTTCAATCATCCAGGCGCTACTTCAAAAAATGCGTTTCTGAGAAACCAAACAATACGAAACAGATGTTGCTTAGGTAGGGCCTCCTTTCAGTCCACATATGTCCAGATATGTCCAGATACAGGAATCTGACAAGATACCTATACACATCATCTTACTGTCCAACCCAAAACATGATCTACGCAATATCATACGTTACCCTACCCACAGACAATTCGAAAGCAAACCCTTTGTTGACAGAGAGCTGTTCCAAAATGAGGGCATTATAGATGGTCTTTGGAGAGAAAACACAGAAATGCAATCAAGAGAAGGCCACGTGATAGGCTCTCTCCTTAAGCCTCCTCATACTGCAACCAAACAAATTTAGGACATCTTACCACAAACGGACAACTAAATGTAGGCTTAAACGCCGCGACCTGAAAAAAGCCAAGGGGCGGGTGGCAAGAACAACTAGGAGGCATTGGGCCATCTCTGTAATGGCTTCCTTTTCCAGAGAGTCAAAAAGAACAGCTTGCTTCTCAGACACGGCCAGCAAACCCCAATGGTCGTCGCTGTGTAAAATCACCAAGACACCAGATACATCACCATGCATCGAAAGCGTCTGCATTCGATCCTCGACGCTACCATTCAGTAAGCACACCTGCTGCGGCCAATCGGGACCAATAACCGCCCGCAAGCATAGCAAGCAACCAAGCAATAGCTGTCTGACACCCATTTGCTTTTGCATCCGGGGGGGTTCTTCTGCAATAAAGCCCTCATAGGGTTTGAGAAGAATTTCTTCGATGAGAGAGGCATCCACGCACACCTGGCACAGTGTCCGCTTGTTATTGCACATGGAAACGCTACTCTTTCTTTTTGAACGTCAGAAATTGTCTGGCCATTGTTTTTCGGGGCGGAGAATACATACGCGCAAACCATCCTTAGATGTAAGAGACATAGACATGTTACAATGCAAGAGCTGTTGCTTACCTAGAGCCGTTGCCTACAGATGCTACGACGCAAGAGATGGTTCCAAGAGATGTTACCTAGACATGCTAGAACGCAAGAGCTTTTCCTGGAGATGTTACTTCGTGAGGCTACCTAGAGATGTTCCCTAGAGATGTTACCTAGGCATGTTACAATCAACAGACATGTTACCTAGCCGAAGACATCTTACCTAGAGAGGCCACAATGCAAGAGATGTTACCTAGACATGTTCCCTAGCGATATTACCTAGACATGTTACAATCAACAGAAATGCCTAGCCGAAGGGATGTTACCTAGAGATGTTACACTGCAAGAGATGTTACCTAGAGATGATACCTGGTGATTTTCCCCAGGGATGCCACAGAAACATGATAGAACAAGTGTAATAGAGCCTCGCTTTCACTCGGATCAACTCTGGCTAAAGACGCCTGGGCAACGTTCGGCAAAATTCAGCCAACAAGAATTTTGGGACACGACGTGTTGGTATAAGAAACCTCTTTACCGGGCCTGCACCCCAGATGCGTTGGAAGCACTTGTTGCCGGCTCAGATGTCCCAGGGCCGAGTGGCTCCTGCATAAAAGCAACAAGCGAAAGAAGCAAACTTGCCAGAAAGAAACGGCTTTTTAAATCGGACCTGTCTCAAGAAACACTGGAGCATTTCAAGATGTCACCCCTCAAAAACAATCCTTCGCCAACACCGTCTCCACAGCCACAGCGTTGTCTTTCTCAAAGGCTGCTGATGACTCTCGTTCCTTCCAACAATGGAAATATATCACTCATGAAATTATATTGGGAAATAACGGGTACATGTTGCAGTCGGTGCAAAGTAAAGACATTGACACGTGATCACAAGTTTGGTACCTGAGCATTGAGTATACCTAACAACATCTAAACACATTGCAAAAGCCAAAATCTCTGGTATGGCTTAAGAGAAACACTTGCCCGCAAAAAGTATAGAAACATGAAAAAAACTCAATTTCAATTTCCAGACCTTTTGTTTGGAGTGGTATATGTATAATACGTTCTAATAATTTCTAACTTAAGTGCCCTAGCCGCTCCATGCTGCTGGTGCACGAGCGCTCACTCCTTCCATTTTTTCTTGCTGCTTCACAGCACAAATTCAAGTTGAAACCTGGCCTTTGCAGCTGAACTGTGCGTGCTGCTATGGCTTGGCCTTCCACCCCCCCCAGGGATGGTGGGTGGGTAGCGAAAAACAAAAGGGCAAAAGGGGTGCTTTGGGCCAGATCCTTGCCTTGCACCCATCATGTATCGCCCTGTGCCCAAAAGTTACACTTTGCAAGAGTTTCAACTCAAGTGCCCTAGCCGCTCCATGCTGCTGGTGCACGAGCGCTCACTCCTTCCATTTTTTTTTGCTGCTTCACAGCACAACTTCAAGTTGAAACCCGGCCTTCGCAGCTGAACTGTGCGTGCTGCTATGGCTTGGCCTTCCACCCCCCAAACCATCTTGCGACCTTTGTGTGTAATGCACATACTCCACCTCCGCCATTTGCTTTGCGATGCCTTTGATGACATCCCCTCCATCATGCAAGTACCTATGTACCCCGCTGGACGTCCATCTCCTGCTCCTCTTGACAACCTCTACCTCACCTGTGGCTTGGTACAGTGCTGACGCTCCTCCGATCCGCAGCAAATGACTTTGGAATCTTTCTGCTGGCAATCCTACCTCCTTGGCCGCACGTTGTAAAATGTGCTGGAATTCAAGCCTTTTCATCACCTGACCTGAAGCCCATCTGAAGACCAGCATGTGTGACTCCGGTCCTTTCCCAAGCCTTCTCGGTGTCGCCTCCTTCAGATCCTCCAGCGCCGAGACCACGCACATATACTTCACCCCTGTCCTCAAGAGGGTGCGGCAAGTGCCAGAGGCCGTCTGGTCTGCTTTTGTCTTTCTGAATTGGATCGTCACCTCCTCTGCCTTCTCTTGTACCACCTCTCCTCTGACTGAAAACTGTACATCTGTACCTCTCAAAATCATGCCCTCATCAACCCCACTGCTGTCGCAAAACTCCTTTGCCCCAAGCATGAAGAACCAAGCTGATATACCAGGCTGTAAGCAGGCTCGCCACCATCACCCTGCAGTTCACTTTGAGCTCTCCTTGCGCCTTCGCTCCTTCCTCAAACTGCTGCCCAATCCACTTGAGCATGGGAACCGTGACGCCAAACCTCCTCGGTTTCCTCACTGAGCTGCGTTCAGGCGAGTTGATGACTATCCACTTAAGCGGTGCATCTTCCCGGTTGCATCTCCATGTCCTGCTCCTTTGATGGCGAAAACTGCTTGCTTCAGCGTCGCCACCGACATTCCCAACCAACCCAGGTAACCCAAATACCCGAGCAGCTTGTTCTCGTTCTCCACCGGGTCTGCCGTATGACTGAGATACGGAGACATCCACTTCTGCCTCCTGCTCCAATCGCACCACTTTTCCCAAGCAGCCTGATACGCCTTCTTCGTACTGACCGCCTTGTCTCCATCCATGTGCTCCTCCAACCATTCCTCCACCTGCGCCTGGATGTTGAGGTCGCTCACCAAACCCGGGCAACTTGGTTCGCCATCGCTTGCTTGACCTTGGAGGTCTTTGGTTTTTCGCCTGCGTGCCACTCTTGTTCCTCCTCAGGCTCCAAAGCTTCCAGCCATAGAGTTTCTCCCCAGCACCAAGCTTGTCGACCTTCTGCTCCTCCTGCCTTCCGATCTGGTTCTGCTCGTCCCAGATCTCCTCTCCTCCACTTCCTCAACCAAGCAAGCAGCAGCCCGAGCGACTTGGAATCCTCACCATCATAGCACATTCCAGCCTTCTCATACCCTTCTTCCTGACATAGCTCTGCGGTAACCCCCAGAAGACTCAAAGCCGTGCGTCTCCCGGTCCCGAAGCAGCCTTGTCTCACTGCATCCTCTCCGACCAACCTGACCACAGCTCCTTCCACTCCTGTCGAGTCCGTCCTTGAGCCCGCCAAACCTCTTCGTGCCTGCTGCACATACTGCCGCCGCTGCCAAACACGATTCTTTTCGGATCATCTGGGATATCTCAGCGGTGCCTGCCTTCTTGGAAGGTTTGCAATGCCTGCATGCGATGCCTCCTGGTGCAGCGCGCGGCTGATCATGCCTCTGATGCCAAAAGTACCGGAAACCCAAGGTTGGTGTAACGTACGTGTCGAACTCTTTCAGGACACGTTGGCTGGCCTCAGGGGATGGTGGGATCAGAAGGGTCATATGGCCCTTGTAGAGCAGCGCCCACAGGTCTTTCTGCCCTGTCTTCGAATGGGTCCCCTGCATGCACGATCTCCAGGAGGTAGTCACCCTTGTAGTCTGTGCGGACAACGATGAGGTTCTCGTGTGCTCGTTGACATGGCTGTTGACTGCATCCCATGTGGGACAGGAAACCCGAACACAAAAGCTTGCCCTTCTTGTTCACCGGCATTCACCGGCGCACGCTCCCTTGCTCGGTTGGTTTCCTCGGTGGTCAGCTTCGGCCCCATCAATCCCTTCGAGGCTATATCGCCTCGACCATCACCTCCTGCTTGTTGAGCTGGGCCCCTGCCTTTTGACGCACCTTCCCACGTGAGCTTCCAAAGCATCCTCTCCTGTCTTCTTTCGATTCTGGGCAGGACCTCTGACACAAACCAGCCTTCCGGGTTGTGCAAGTCGAACGTTCGCGGGAGCTGCAAGGGTGGTTGTCCTCGATCGTCCGGCATCAAGGCATAGAAACGCAGATCTGAGAGCGACATTGTTTCGCGACCACTGATACCCTTGATCTTTCTCAACTCCGCCTTCAGCTCCTCCACGAATCGCCAATGTAGTTCCTCCCAAATTTCGCAAAGGATTTGAAGCGGCCATCTATGCGGTGCCCCCAAATGCCAATCTCCAAGGACTTGTGCTGCATGTTCTCGTACGGCCCGCCACTCCTTGCCATAGACCAAGCACCAAACATCCGTCTGCCGCTTCACCCTGGTGGCCCAATCCTCATAGCGCGTGGGGGCCGGAGGCCGCTGCTCGTTTTGCTGCTTGCCTGTCCTGGTCTCCACCGCAAACTGGTCAAGTTCTGCATCGGAGCAAGGCACGAAGTCCGCCACCGACAGAGCATACTTCTCCTGCGTGCCCCAGTACGGTCCAGCCAGACCCACTGCCAACCTTGTTGTGACCTTCTGCTTGAAACCTGCACTTCTCAGACGGGTCGAAGCTCCAGCCTGTGCCGCGATCAAGGCATTCGCCAAATTGGCTCCGTGCTCGTTCTCCCCGACCTCCACTGTATACTGCCCACAAGCCCGCAGTAAGTAGACCAACTCCTCCGAAGCTCTTCCAAGCGACTTGATGGTACCTTACCTTTGCTGGTAGTGGAACCCGTCTCATGCTGAGGCTTGACTAGGCTTGCCAACTCCGCTGTCTGGAACTGTATCGCCTTGGCTATTCCGCCATGTTGGACTCACCCTCATGGCAGCTCCTCCAGTAGATTCCCGGCGGCCCAAGCACCGCTAAACCTCCTGTCCTCCCACCTGGCGTGGTCGCTTCTGGCGTCTTGGCAGCTTCTGAAGCACTGGATGTCTTGGGCTCCTCCGGACTTCCAACCAAGCTCCAACTCCCTGGAGGGCTAAGTTTGTCCGGGCGAGTAACCTTTCCGGCTGCGATCTGCTTCCTCCACTTCGCCAGGAACTTGGTCAAGCCCTTTGTACCCTTACGTTGCTCCTCCAACGCCTGGTCATACAACACCTGGGTGAAGTCCAAGACGGTCATCCCACTGGCCGCTGCCATCTGGTTCCGAACATCCTCTTCATCCAGCCCAAGGTCCTTGCCATCCACGAACTGCGCCATGAACTCCTCCAAAGTGGTGATCATCTCCCTTCTATATGGTGAGTTCACCATGCCAAGCTTTGCCAAACTCCTCGGTGTGCGACCAGGTGAACTCTCCTCAACCGTTCTCTTTCTGGACCTCAAACTGGGAGCGGGATCCGACGCGCTGTGCGCCTCCTCAAGCAAACGTTCCACGTTGGACTCATCCGCCATCTCCTTCTCATGTCGCACCCTTCTGCGCAAACCTTCCTCTCTTCCAAGTCCAAAAGTCTCCTCCTCAGCCTTCTATATGGGGTCTCGACCTGGACCGGGATGATCTCCTTGGAGTAGAGCGTGATGTCTCCTCGTGAGCAGCACAGAGACGAAGTCCTCCTCCATCCTTCTGCCCAACTCAAAAACATTCGGCCACGGCACACTTAAGTTGAAATCTAGACATGAGATACTTAGAAGAATGGGTTGGACACAGGGTGCAAACGCCTACGCTAGGAGGAACATCCTCTTCCAAAATCTGAAGTTCCGCCCCTACCGCTGTACAGCTAGAGCCACTCAGTACATGACCGCCATGCTCATCTTCCCACCGAATTCGGTGAGCCAGACACGGAATAGCCTCCGTCTCAGATTCCGAAGTGAATGAAGTCCTTGGCCCGCTTCACTGCTGTCGCCGCTCCCTTCCGAAGCCAGCCCATGAACTGTGTCCCAGCCTGTTGTGCCCCAGTTATCGCAGCAGACAGTTGGAAGACCTCCGGATTAAATGGCTTCACTGTCGCGTATTGCTTAAAGTGAGGTCCTTCTTCACCGCAAGAGTCATGCCTGCACAGGTGCACCTTGTCATACCCATTTAGTGATCCCAAAAGTTCTGCATCTCCTCGCAAAGTGTCTGGCTCCAAGGTCAGGTGCAAGCCAGATGATTTGATACTGGTAGAATCCTGAACCTTGAAGAAGCTGTAGCCCCATTCCTGCTGCCTATAGGACCCAGCGGTCTCCGTCACTGCCCTTCTTCAGCTTGCGGAGCTCAGTTGTCTCGGGGGGGTTCACCCAACTCTGGTCCGATGAACCTCGCCCCAACTGCTTCCGGGACGCCGCCACTCCACCTCTGAGTGTGGAAAGCCATCCGTCCGCAGCATCTGACCAAGTTTCGTATGATCCACGCCATTGTCAGTCTCAGTACAGTGCCTACGGGCAAAGACATGATCGGCCAACACAGTGCCAACACGTAGTGGAGTGAGATGCATACAAACAGCAAGGCACCCAGTCTGAGGGCGAGAGCGAAGCCACTCCTGACTTGGTCCCAACTCCGTCCAAAAATCAACCAGCCTACCGTGCTAAAAACGGCATCCAAGCATATCCAAGCCCAACCAGACCCAACCATCCCAGCTCTTCGGCAAAGTTGGCATGAAGTCCTGTATGGTTGCATTCCCAGTGCTCGTAACATTGTACATCCACCAAGCGTACTCCCTCGGACTGGTCCAGAGCCGCGGTTTTGGATCTTCGGGAATCGGTTGTTCTCCCCACCAGCCCGGGGCGACCCCAACAGTCAGGCAAACGACCATCAAACGAAAACATCGTAACATGGCCATGCCTAACCCACTAGCGAAAAACAAAAGGGGTGCTTTGGGCCAGATCCTTGCCTTGCACCCATCATGTATCGCCCTGTGCCCAAAAGTTACACTTTGCAAAAGTTCCAGTACTCATTATGAGGACTTTTACAAGCCTTTTAGTAGGTGCAGGACTCAACATGATGCGGGGCTCCTGTACCGGCGCCATTCCCAAATTGCTTCGTTGCTCTCAAAGGTGGGTGATGCGGCCGCAGAACATGTGGTTGTTATGCGGTCATGTCCGCAGAACAGAACTACATCTACCATCTACAATGTAGATGTGGTAAAAAAACGTAGAGGCACTACATGTCTATATATTGTTTTCAAGCTTTGTACCCTGCAATCGCTGCATGTCCCCTACCTGCATGTCCCCTACAGCGCTTGATACGCAAAGGTCAAGACGCATGACTCATGCGATGAGATCAGAAAGGAGGCATGCTAGATCATGGCCAGCAACAGAAATGTTACTTAGGCAAGTGCAACAGAAAGCAACAGATATTACTTAGACATCACAAAAAAAAGCCATATGTTTCTTAGGCATCGGCTACAGATATTACTTAGACATCAGAAAAACAAACCATTGTTACTTAGTCAAATCCAGCAGACCACCCACACCAAGTGTTACGTAAGCACAAAGCACATCCTGCCAGGTTTTTTCCAAATTAGACAATGCAACATGAAAATGTTACCTAGACATCTGTTTTTGACATCTGGTCGCTCAGCGCTACTTTTTTGTGGCACCGTCTCAAGCCTGGTTCGGGCAACTGCCGTTTTCGCAACTGTTATTTCAGTCATTTTCAGTCGATATCTTTCGCTGTCATCGTCACGCACTTGGTCACGTAGAATCTGACCCCAGCAACCCGCCTCACACAATCGTGGGCCCATCAATTCTATGAGCGCAAGGCGGAAAATGATAAAATACGCGGTCAAGCAATTGGATATACTTGGATGCACCATATTACCCCAGCCCATCTCACTATTTAATCTCGCAGGGGTTTGCAAGGGTGCACCGAGAAAATGTCGCCGCAAAGGCCCCTGCATGCCCCTGCCCATTCTGAGCCAAAGCACAAAACCTTAAACTTGTCTCCTTGCTTCGCCTTTTTCTTTTTCGCCTGTGGGATTTCATCGTCTTTTGCATCTTCCGTCACCAGCTCGAATACGCACTGGACGTTCCTTCAATGTCATTCTCTGTGCGAAGTCAAACTCATGGGGACACAACATGGAAAGCTGGAAAAAATACTTTACTTCGTGTGATCCCCACCATGATATTTATACTACCACCACTACTACTACTACTTCTTCTTCTTCTTCCTCTTCTCAAATCATTTCCGTTTCTATAATTTATAATAATAGTATTTGTATTTGTATTATATCTATCTGTGCGCCGGGCACCCGGCGCGCCAATCTACTTTAATATTGCTATTTGTCAAACCATGTTAATATTCGTAGTAGTAATGCTAATATTTCTACTAGTACTACTAGTACTAGTACTAGTACTAGTACTACTACTACTACTACTACTACTACTAGTACCCTACTACTACTACTACCACCACGACTGCTACTACTACTACTACTACTCCTACTATTATTTCCAACCAAACAAATATTTGTATTATCCTATGTGTGCGCCGGGCGCCCGGCGCCGGACGCCCGGCGCGCCAATCTACTTGTTTATTGCTACTGGTATTAGTGTTATTACATCCACACATATCCACACTACTATTTGTTCCTGGATGTTCCTGGCAAATCTTCTGGCATTCTATCTGACATATCTTCTGGCATTCTATCTGACATATCTTATGGCATTCTATATGACATATCTTATGGCATTCTACCTGGCATATCTTCTGGCATTCTACCTGGCATATTTTCTGGCATTCTTTCTCGCATTCTATCTGGCATATCTTCTGGCATATCTTCTGACAAATCTTCTGGCATTCTATCTGTCATATCTCATGGCATTTTATCTGGCATATTTTCTGGCATTTTATCTGGCAAATCTTCTGGCATTCTATCTGGCACATCTTATCTGGCAAATCTTCTGGCATTCTATCTGGCCGTTGAGGTCCAGCGGTGCTCACTGAGCTGGGCAGGTCCCAGGTTGAGGTCCAGCGGTGCTCACAGAGCTTGGCAGGTCCCAGGTTGAGGTCCAGCGGTGCTCACTGAGCTCGGCAGGTCCCAGGTTGAGGTCCAGCGGTGCTCACTGAGCTGGGCAGGTCCCAGGTTGAGGTCCAGCGGTGCTCACAGAGCTGGGAAGGTCCCAGGTTGAGGTCCAGCAGTGCTCACTGCTCACTGAGCTGGGAAAGTCCCAGGTTGAGGTCCAGCAGTGCACACTGAGCTCGGACGTTGGCGAAGAGCTAGACGAGGCGGAGGACGAGGAGGAGGAGCAGGAGGAGGAGGAGGAGGAGAAGGAGGAGGAGGAGGAGAGCTAGCCGAGAACAGCTCTGATAAAATCTAACAACCCTCACCTGGCAGGTGGGGAACAAAAGACGCATGGCACCACACAGTTGTAGATAGAAAGAATTCTAAGACAAGGAACACAGTGTTGGCCAAAGATTCCAGAATCAAGATCAAATCCTTCTGCTTCGGCTGCTGGTCCGGTACCCAGACAGCCACCTCCTACAAGCAAGAAACATCACTGGAAGCGAGTGCCAGGTTTTGTTACCTCAGAGACAGGGAAGCCCACCTGGTCTATCTGGAACTGTAACTTAGGTGCCTTTAAGATCTTTTAAGATCATTTAATGTGAATCACAGGTTTGTCAAATATATGTGTCTACCAGTAGTACCCGAAAAAGTCGGGGGCGGAAGTGTCAAAAATATAAAACCTATAAGCTTGAAAGATGGAGAGGACAAGTGCCTATAGGAAACGGTTGTGGGCATTGAACATTGCATGTCAACATCTCATGGCATCTCACTCCTTCTCATCTGATCCTTTTCATGTGACATGGCGTGAAACCCACATGATACATGCACTGTCGTCGCTACTGGCTTGCCTGCCAAACAAAAGTTCTGTCTGGCTATATCCATACATTCGATCTATGTTAACTAGAAAACATGTTACTTAGGCAACTATAGGTGGTCAAACAATTAATCGGCGGGCCTGCAAAAAAAAACTGTCATCCCATACCCTGCATGATTCCAGGATAGTCCAGGTATGCTACCTATAAAATCTGTGGCTTAGACAACTCGTTGATGAGACAAAGCGGCTTGCAAGGAAACAAAGATGCAGTCATTGGATATATCTACATGAGCCCAGGTATGTTACCTAGGAGATCTCCGCAGGATGCCAAATATATATATTATTACCTCAAGCAAACGCCTTCCTCCTTCCCGTCCTTCTTCTCTTCTGTTTTTTTCTGGATGCTTGTGCCATTGTAGTTGTGATTTTGCAAGCCCACGATCGCATCATCCTGCAAAACGTCGCCCAGCTTGACCACCTCCTTCTTAAAATAGACTTGGCTGCTCTTCGTAACGGTAAAGATCAAAGATTCCAACACGTGCTCGGGGACAGCTTGTTGATCAAAGTGTTCGCAGCTGATTTCCTCAACCTTGCCCTCTGTGGTGCTGAAGATTTCGGACCACTTGTCTAGTCGTTTCTTTTTGGCTGCCTGGACGAACACGACTGACTGGAGTTCCATATCGACGTGGATCTCAGCCACACCAGCGATGTCGCCAATCTTGATGGTCTTCGCAATACCTTCTTCGGGGGCCGGGGCCGCCTGTTCTTCTGCGACGGTCTTCGCAACACCTTCTTCGGGGGCCGCCTCCTCTTCTGAAGCAAAAACGATGGTCTTCGCAACACCTCCTTCGGGGGCCGCCTCCTCTTGTGAAGCAGAAACGGCTGGTCTCAATTTTTTCTCTGCCGGCATGGCTTCTGTCTCTGTCTCTGGTTCCATGGCTTCCACATCTTCTCCAGCATCGGGCGCTTTTCTCTTCTTGTCAGCAGCAGTGGAGGCTGGTATGTCGTAAATGTCAGAAAGCGAAGACAACTGATCCAAGGGCAAACTCTCATCGTCCCCTGGACTGATCTTGGGAGACTCCAAGAAAAGCTGCCTGTTCGTTGGTGGTGTGGACACCGTTGCGTCCGCAAGGGCCGCCAATTTCTGGGTTGCATTCTCTAGCTTTTTCGTGCTGGAGCCGCTTGCCATGTCTGCCTCTCGCATCCAAACACCTAACTCACCGGAGAATGGAGCAATGTCGCCTTTGGCTTTCAGCAGCAAGCATGGGGCGCTGTACGGACCCAAAATCCATTCTTCCTCCAACACATGCAACCCGGGTGTGCAAAATCCTTTGTCATGGGATGAAGCCTTGCAAGCGGGAGACACGAAATGCAGGCTTGCTTCTATGTGTCTGCTTTCAAGAAGCTTTGCCATGTACGTGGCCTTGGCAGTGCCTTGGCCTGCTTTCAACCGGCATTTCAGCAAACAAACGGTGCTGCCTGATTCTGAAGACGAAGCGCTCCAACATTGATTGGAGCACAACTTCGCCAGCTTTGAAGCCTCTGGCCGGCCACAAACCTGTCCCTTCTTGCAATCTGCTTTGTCCCAAGCAAATATCTTGTTCGAGGCTTCGTCTTTCCCGAAAAAGAGGATCCGGGAGCCGGTCAACATCATACCGGGCCTGAACTGTTTCGGCTTTTCGAGGGGATGCTTTGAGGTCAAACGGGGATTGGATGCTTTCCAGGCAACACGGCTTGGCGCGCCCAAGGAACTTCAAGTCTGTCTTCCCAGCTTCAACCTGGACTAAGGAAGGTGGCGCCGCGATCACTTGAGGCGGGTTTGACTTGCGCATTGCTTGGACAATGTCGATAAGCTGGTTGTCCGTATCTGAAACGTGAGCCTTCAGCTCTCGAGGAAGAGTTCGAAAATGGGAAGAGATCTGCTCCGTGAAGAATTTTTCCTTCAAGGGAGTTCTGGAGTGCGTAGCACCTCCCCAAAAAGCTTGCTTCTCCTCACGCAGCATGTGAAGAAAAAGGTGCGGTCCAGGCTCCAGCTCCAGAATCATGTCTTGTGGCTGACAAGGCAACACATTCAGCCTCAACAAAAACCGGCGTGTGCTTGGTGTTGATAGGATATGGGACAATATGGGACATGCATTTGCCTAACGCCGCAGCTTACTTTAAGATATTTTAAGATACCTTTAAGAATCTTTAAGAACACAAACATATATAGTATATTATACAACTGTACATGTACATGGGCACTCTGAAAAGCAACCGGTTTTTCCCCACCTGCCAGGTGAGGGTTGTTAGATTTTATCAGAGCTGTTCTCCTCCTCCTCCGCCTCCGCATCCTCCTCCTCCATCTCCTCCGCCTCCTCCTCCTCGCAGTCCAGATCCCAACCGCGACTTCCAGATCGCAGTGGGCACTGCCGGACCTCAACCGCGACTTCCAGATCCCAGTGGGCACTGCCGGACCTCAACGGCGAATTCCAGATCCCAGTGGGCACTGCCGGACCTCAACCGCGACTTCCAGGTTGCAGTGGGCACTGCCGGACCTCAACCGCGACTTCCAGATCGCAGTGGGCACTGCCGGACCTCAACCGCGACTTCCAGATCGCAGTGGGCACTGCCGGACCTCAACCGCGAGCTCCAGATCCCAGTGGGCACTGCCGGACCCCAACCGCGACTTCCAGATCGCAGTGGGCACTGCCGGACCTCAACGGGAAGAATGTCAGAAAAGATGTCAGATAGAATGTCAGAAGATATGCCAGATAGAATGCCAGAAAGAATGTCAGAAAGAATGTCAGAAGATATGCCAGACAGAATGTCAGAAGATATGCCGGAAAGAATGTCAGAAGATATGCCAGATAGAATGTCAGAAGATATGCCAGATAAAATGCCATGAGATATGCCAGATAGAATGCCAGAGGATATGCCAGATAGAATGCCAGAAGATATACCAGATAGAATGCCAGAAGATATGCCAGATAGAATGCCAGAAGGTATGCCAAATAGAATGCCAGATAAAATATCAGATAGACTGCCACAAGATATGCCAGATAGAATCCCAGAAGATTTGCCAGATAATATGCCAGAAGATATGCCAGATAGAATGCCAGATAGAATGCCATAAGATATGTCAGATAGAATGCCAGAAGATATGCCAGATAGAATGCCAGAAGATTTGCCAGATAGAATGCCAGAAGATATGCCAGAAGATATGCCAGATAGAATGCCAAATAGAATGTCAGAAGATATGTCAGATAGAATGCCAGAAGATTTGCCAGTAAGAAAATGTATAAATTCCATGGTGGGGATCACACGAAGTAAAGTAATCTTTATTGCTGGGCCATTGCTGGACAAAGAACTCGTGCAAAATCGCCTTCAAAAACTCTGGCCCCCAGGGCCAAGTCCAAAGCTTTTGGCCATTGCGCGCCCGTGGGCACTGCTCGTCCTCTCGTCATTGGGACGCTAAGACAAGGAATTAAATGTCGTATCTCCTTTCACAAGTTGAAAAAAAACAGAGCGACTCAAAATAGACCGGTCCTCCTTCACCTTTGCTGCTAGCAATCCTCCAGCAAAGGCCCGGCTGCCAGAGACTCGTTCCTTCATTGTCTTAGTTGGAAGAAATTCCTTTCGATTGTCGAGGCTTTCTTGGGAGACATCTGCGTCAGCCCCTGCCACCAGAATGTAACTGGCTTTCAACTGCGATGGCATCTTTCCGGTAAGCTGAACTGCCAGCCACCGAAATGGCACGTTCTGTTGGAGGAGCTTTCCAATGACACTCACAGCTGACGATTGCCCAGCTTCAGGTCCAAAGATGAAAACTGAAACAGCGTCCCAGGCTTCGGCTTGGGCCTGCAAGGCCGTGTCAATGCTGCGCGTCTCACCTTCGCTGCAATTGACCACAATCACTGCACTACACGAGGCCAATTTCTGTTTCCAAGCTGGCAACAACTCTTTGACCGGTGTCACGAACATGGCCCGGTCCTGCATCCACAACATGATGTATGCCTTCAAACTATTGCATATGAAACGCCAGAGCCACATGTCATGTCATGAGTATTAAAGTTTCAGTGGCCAGCCTGCTTTGCGTTCTGCAAGGCGCTGTCATTCGCTTTCTTTGCCGCAGACAAAATTTCCAAGCAGTCATCCAAGTGAGTTTGGAAGTGTTTCTTTCGCTCGGCCCAGGCTTGGCACGAAGTAGCTACAAACAACTCCTCTTCTGCAGCTAGCACCTCTTCTTGTGTTTCGCCTGTCATGTTTCACATGGGCTTGTCACACGGAGTAGTATGAATGAAAAAGAAGGAAGACAAATCAGACAATGCAACAAAATCCAAAACCGATCTACCCACGGAGCCTGAGTTGCTTGTCTCTTTCGGGGCTGCTGCTGCGGCAGCCTGCTTTGCCTCTAAGCTTTGCTTTGCGTCGGCAACGCGTCTGTCCATTTCTTCACGGGCCTTCCGACTGCGACAATCTGCAAGCTTCAAGCGGCAAAACTCTGTCAGATTGCGGTCATCGTGTCCAAGAGCGAAAGCAGAAATCAAAAAACTCTCTTCGTCTGAAGTCACACCCCCGATAGCACTGAGGGTGCTGTCCAACTCTCCAGCCAGAACTCTCCATCGACGCAACTCTTCACCCATGTCTGCCTGGCCACAATGAGATTTCAAGGCGCTTGCAGACCAACCTTCCTTCTTTTGCAAATACGTCAGCAACCGTTGGAACCAAGCACGCTGGGCGCGTTTGGTCATGCTGTCAGACTGGCTGCTGCGGGTCAGTGGCGGCAGGAGAAATTCTGCCTTTCTGAAGAAGCTCATGGGCAACACGTCTGCTCCACCATGGTATTTTTCTTGAAATTCTGCACACATCTGCAAGCAATGCTCATCCACGCGCTCGTAGACCTGAGCAGTCCGGGCTTTGAACAAAGAATCGCATGAAAAAAATACTTTACTTCGTGTGATCCCCACCATGACATTTATACATTTTCTTACTGGCAAATCTTCTGGCATTCTATCTGACATATCTTCTGACATTCTATTTGGCATTCTATCTGGCATATCTTCTGGCATATGATCTGGCATATCTTCTGGCATATCTTCTGCCATTCTATCTGGCAAATCTTCTGGCATTCTATCTGGCATATCTTCTGGCACTCTATCTGACATATCTTCTGGCATTCTATCTGGCATATCTTCTGGCATATATTCTGACATATCTTCTGGCATTCTATCTGGCATATCTTCTGGCATATTATCTGGCATTCTATCTGGCATATCTTCTGGCATATATTCTGACATCTCTTCTGGCATTCTATCTGGCATTCTATCTGGCATATCTTCTGGCATATCTTTCGATATCCTATCTGGCATTCTATCTGGCAAATCTTCTGGCATTCTATCTGGCAAACATTCGGGCACTTTATCTGGCATACCTTCTGGCACTTTATCTGGCATATCTGCTGGCACTCTATCTGACATTCTATCTGGCATACCTTCTGGCATTCTATCTGGCATATCTCATGGCATTTTATCTGGCATATCTTCTGGCATTCTCTTTGTCCCATATCTTCCTACATGAGGTCCGGCAGGGAACACTTGGCATGGATACTCGCAGATGAGGTCCGGCAGGGAACACTGGGCGTGGCTGGTCGTGGTTGAGGTCCGGCAGGGAACACTGGGCGTGGCTGGTCGTGGTTGAGGTCCGGCAGGGAACACTGGGCGTGGATGGTCGTGGTTGAGGACGACGAGGACGACGAGGACGACGAGGACGACAAGGACGACAAGGATGACAAGGAGGACGAGGAGGACGAGGAGGAGAGGAGGAGGAGGAGGAGGACGAGGCAGGAGGAGGCAACTGACATAAAATCTAACAACCCTCACCTGGCAGGTGGGGAAAAAGCAAAAGGGACAAGAGTATGGATGTTACCTAGCCAAAGAGATGTTACGTAGCGCAAGGGATGTTACCTAGCCATGTTACCTAGAAATCTTTGGACATGCTACGTTGGTAATACCATGTAATACCTCTGCAGAGATGTCAACAAGCGAAACAGACCACTAGCCAATATGTTGCACGCGAAACTGGCGAAACTCCGTCTTTTTAGACGCGATCACTCGAGTTCGGCGCAGTCCTCGCCGTCGAGGACTGTGGCGGTCAGCTGCACCGGCTTCACCCACCCCAGCATGCTCCTCTTCGGCAAGTCGGCTGTGTGCACAGGGCTTTGGAATGCCACCGTCCTGCCGACGGTCCAAGCAAACAGCGGCTTTCGGCCGTCCCAAGAGAAGACCGAATCTGAAGGAACCAGGTGTTTGGGCCGCGAAGCCTCAAAGTCGGCAACATCGCGGTACTGGCGCCAGGCGCTGAAGGTCACAATGCCAAGCACCACACTCTCCTCTCTGGGGTAGCGGTTGCCATTCGTCTGGACCAGGAAAAGTGGGGTGCCTGTCATCGGCAGCCCCCACCGGCCCGGCGGGTATTTTCTGACCTCTTCCACCTTCTCCCCACTCATGATCTGCCCCGCGAAGGGCCACTGCACATTGATGCCCTGGTAGCAGAAGACCTTGGCCCCCATCTCCGCAAAGTCGCGCTTCATGCTGTGAAGTTTGACAAAAAAACCTGCTGCGCTACGAGCTCGAGCCTACGACTACAGGTGCATAGGGGCTCCAAGCTCCCGTGACAAGGGCGGGTTACCTAGATAGGTTCCCTATAGAGATGTTACCTAGACATATCGAGACATGTTACAATCAACAGACATGTTACCTAGCCGAAGACATGTTACCTAGAGAGGCCATAATGCAAGAGATGTTACCTAGACATGTTCCCTAGAGATGTTACCTAGACATATCTAGACATGTTACAATCAACAGAAATGCCTAGCCGAAGGGATGTTACCTAGAGAGGCTACAACGCAAGAGGTGTTTCCTAGAGATTTTACCTAAAGATGGTGTAATACAAGACATGCTTCCTAGAGACGTTACAATGCAAGAGTACCATGTCTCTGAGAGATACCACCTGGAGGTTATAGGGTTCTTTGATGTTTTTTGACCGAGTTACCTCCTTCAGCCTTTTCCAATCCAAGGCAGAACCAGCCAAGGACGGGATCTCCTTTCTCAGCTTCTCTTCAAAAGCCTGCCACATACATGGACAGCAAGAAGAAGAAATTGAAATTACAGGCAACGACGGAACCAGTCCCCACCTTCAAACCTAAACCGTGTAGGCTCGAGCTTGGTGACTTCAATGTGATGACAACCTGGACCCAAGAAAAGGCGGTCGTTCCGTGAAGATTGGCCAACGTATTAGCCATTCCACGAATGCAGTACTCGGCAAAATTGTCTTTCTCAGGCGACACCGTCGCAGGCACCCAGCACATGGCTTCCATCCACTGCTCTACCTTCTCCGTGCTCCAACCTTACGAGAACAAGACCAACTCCGATGTTACCTAGAGATGTTACCTAGACATGTTACAATCAACAGGCATGTTACCTAGCCGCAGACATGTTGCCTAGAGAGGCTACAATGCAAGAGATGTTACCTAGACATGTTCCCTAGAGATGTTACCTAGACATGTTACAATCAACAGAAATGCCTAGCCGAAGAGATGTTGCCTAGAGAGGCTACAACGCAAGAGGTGTTTCCTAGAGATTTTACCTGAAGATGTGATATCATAAAACAAAACTGCTCGTCACTGTTTGAGGCTTTACGAGTGTCAGCATTCGTATTCAGAACAAGACGCTGTAAAACATAAGGCGATGAAATGCCACAACACGCTGGTGACCAGACTCAAATCGAAGGCAACGAGGCGTCATGTTCTCCTGGGAAGTGGGCCCAACAAGCTTAATGTCTCCGAACCAGCGCTTCTCCTGCCAGGGGATTATAGGAATATTCAGGACTATAAACCAGAAATTTCTCAAAGTGCTGCAGCCTGCTATGTATACTCTGGTGCGCTATGGCAAAACGGTTTGAAGTTTGACAAAACCTGCTGCGCTACGAGTTCGAACCTAGCACATAGAGGCTCCAAGCTCCCGTGACAAGGGCGGGTTACCTAGAGATGTTCCCTAGAGATGTTACCTAGACATGTTACAACCAACAGAAATGTTACCTACCCGAAGACATGTTACCGAGGGAGGCTACAACGCAAGAGGTGTTACCTAGACATGTTCCCTAGACGCGTTGCATTCAACAGAGATGTTACCTAGCCGAAGAGATGTTGCCTAGAGAGGCTACAATGCAAGAGGTGTTCCCTATAGAGATGTTATACCAGAATTGCATACTGTCCTGAAGAAAAGCAGCCGCTTTTCTTCCTATGCTCTCTTCCGAGACTGCACGCCAGCCTGCAGCGCAAGAAGCATCGTTGGTTATCGCCCATAGCGGCACGCAGCCAACCGGAGCGCTTCCGCTTGCGCTCTTCTGAAGCCATTGAAAGTATTCGCTGAAGCCATTGTGATCCTCTGGCGCCCTCTGAAGAAATTTCTTAAAGCCCTCAAGAAAAGGGCACTCGTCTTCTCCTGACAAAAAGGGGTATGCTTCGTAGGTATTCGTGGGTATGCTTCGTGGCATGCTTCGGGGTATGCTTTCAGGATGCTTACTTCTGCCCTTCTTAAACTTGTTCACCACCAACAAAATACATATAAATACATACAGTACCCATGTGTCAACATCAGAACATCCATTGAGAGCGTCGCTAGACACAGGCCATCACGGGAACAATCTGCTTAAGGACGCTGTCCTTAAGCGGATTCACACAGTGCCCTAGCGGATTTGTCGTCGCTATTGGAGGATTCCGATCCCCAAATCTGTGGTCAAACGCAGGAATCTGCTTAAGGACGGTGTCCTTAAGCGGATTGTACTCTCAACAGCAGAATCGCCAAACCATGGTTCAGATGAGAAAAGCCATTGCAAGTGACATCTTGGGCCAATACTCATCTCATACTCATCATTGATCTAAAATGACTCGACGTTTCGGCTGTGGGGTGATCAATCCGCTTAAGGACAGCGTCCTTAAGCAGATTGCTTGTTTTGGCTGCAGATTTTTGAAAGGAAATCCGGCATGAGAGAGCACAAATCCGTGATGAAACTCTGTGAATCCGCTTAAGGACACCGTCCTTAAGCAGATTGCTTCTTTGGCGAAGTTTCTGGCTGAGCCCCTTAAAAAAGGTTATGTCCGTGCTAGCGACGCTGGTGTTTTTCAACATCCACAGTTCAAGGCTTTGCGCTCCTACACTTTTCCATCACTTTTCCTTTCTGTGATGCACTGGTGTCAAACCTGTATCTCTTACAGGGTTTTGCGTTGGGTTAGCCGGTATGACTAGCTACCTGCCAAGTTTGTGCCTCAAGCCAATAACTCAACAGGGCCCGCGTAGCTCTGGTTTCAAATATCGGCCATACCTTGCCCGCAGGTAACTGCACGTCACTCACGCGGGCCCCGGACAAAATCTTTCAAGATTGGCGGTAGTATTTGGTGGTACCCTCACCGAGCTAGCGAACCAGGTTGGGTCAAAATGACAGGCAGTTTGGATCAAGGTCACTTGGACCAAAATGGGCAATCATTAATAAGATTTAAAAAGTAGCAATGGTAAATCTGTGAAATGATCACTGTTCACTCTAAGCCTGAAAGAGATTGTTGCGCGAAAAAAAATGTTTCACAAACGCCATGCGAGACAGGAAAACGGAAAAAAATGGCTTCCATCGTCCTCCGGAAGCTTCAGCACCATCGTACTCCATGTCTCTGCTAAAACTCACGCAATTTCTCACGCAGCAAAGCACTTTGAACCGGCTGGTGGCAGGAAGAGATCTATCTGACCAGGCTCTCTGCAAAACAAAACTTCTGCTGTAAGATTCCCGAAAAATTCCCGAGATGTTACCTGGATAATCAATGAAACGAATGTTACTTATACACCTGCTTCCCCCAAGATGCAGCTGGATTTCAACCTTTTTCCTTTCTCCATTTTGTCCTTTGAAGCTGGATCTCATAGTGGCGACGACAATGCAAACAATGAAGCCATGACCATCGCGCCACAGAGTGGAAGACACATTCCGTTGCCTGAGAGGCGGTCTGCAGATATTGCAAAATTAACCCATGTTTGCGCAGCACCAAAACGAAATTACTTTACTTCGTGTGATCCGTACCATGATATTTATATTATAATACTACTACTACTTCCTACTACTTACTAGTACTAGTACTAGTACTGCTACTACTGCTACTCTACTGCTACTGCTACTGCTACTGCTACTGCTACTGCTACTACTACTACTACTACCACCACTACCACTACCACTACCACTACCACTACCACTACCACTACCACTACCACTACCACTACCACTACTACTACTACCACTACCACTACTATTACTACTACTGCTACTACTACTACTACTAGTACTACTACTACTACTACTACTGCTACGACTACTACTACTACTACTACTACTACTAGTACTACTACTACTACTGCTACTACTACTACGACTACTACTACTACTACTATGATGAATTATTACATAATTTATCATAATTTCCAACCAAAAAAATGTATTATCCTATCTGTGCGCGGGGCGCCCGGCGCCGGACGCCGGGCGCGCCAATCTATTTTGTTATTGCTACTAGCATTACTGTTATTACAGTTATTACATCCACACTACTATTACTAGTATTACTACTACAACTCCTGGCATTTATACATTTTGTTCCTGGATGTTCCTGGCAAATCTTCTAGCATTCTATCTGACATATCTTCAGGCATTCGATCTGGCATTCTATCTGGCATATCTTCTGGCATTCTACCTGGCATATGTTCTGGCATATCTTCTGGCATTCTATCTGGCATTCTATCTGGCAGATCTTCTGGCATTCTACCTGGCATATTTTCTCGCAATCGATCTGGCATATCTTTTGGCATTCTACCTGGCATATCTTCCGGCATATGTTCTGGCATTCTACCTGGCATATCTTCTGACATTTTATCTGCCATTCTATTTGGCATACCTTCTGGCATTCTATCTGGCATATCTTCTGGCATTCTACCTGGCATATCTTCTGGCATTCTATCTGGCATTCTATCTGGCATATCTTCTGGCATATCTTCTGGCATTCTACCTGGCATATTTTCATCGCAATCGATCTGGCATATCTTTTGGCATTCTACCTGGCATATCTTCCGGCATATGTTCTGGCATTCTACCTGGATATCTTCTGCATATCTGCACATCTTTTGGCATTCTACTTGGGCATATCTTCTGGCATTTTATCTGGCAAATCTTCGGGCCTTCTATTGACATACAGTATCTCTGGCATTCTTCTGGCATTCTATCTGGCATATCTCATGGCATTTTATCTGGCATATCTTCTGGCATTCTATCTGGCATTTTATCTGGGATATCTTGTGGCATTCTATCTGGCATATCTTCTGGCATTTTATCTGGCATATCTTCTGGCATTCTATCTGGAATATCTTCTGGCATTTTATCTGGCATATCTTCTGGCATTTTTATCTGACATTCTATCTGGCATATCTTACCTGGCATATCTTTTGGCATTCTATCTGGCCGTTGAGGTCCAGCGGTGCTCACTGAGCTGGGCAGGTCCCAGGTTGAGGTCCAGCGGTGCTCACTGAGCTGGGCAGGTCCCAGGTTGAGGTCCAGCGGTGCTCACTGAGCTGTGGGAAGGTCCCAGGTTGAGGTCCAGCGGTGCTCACTGAGCTGGGAAAGTCCCAGGTTGAGGTCCAGCAGTGCACGCTGAGCTCGGACGTTGGCGAAGAGTTAGACGAGGCGGAGGACGAGGAGGAGGAGCAGGAGTAGGAGGAGGAGAAGGAGGAGGAGGAGGAGAGCTAGCCGAGAACAGCTCGGATAAAATCTCACCTGGCAGGTGGGGAATCATACATGACCTCTATAAGTTTTTCCTACATCATACACTTGCTTACTGTATATTGTACGCTATCCATCTTTCCATCTATCATCCTCCGTCCCTCCATCTAGCTGACTCAAGCTGTCCATTTGCAAATTGGCTTGCAGCGGCTGTCAACAGGGTGTAAAGACCCATATGAATCTATATGTCATATGTGCAATGAGCTAGGGAGGAACGATAGCAACGTATCCTCAACAGCCAGGTCAAGCTTAGATGTTGCAGGTCAGAGATGATCTAGACGTCTTGGCATGTCTTGGCAAAGCGTGCCAAGTCACCCATCAGGTCTCGCAAAAGCAATGGTGGAATTTCTTGCAAACAAGCTAGCGAAGCAAACCCTTGGAGAGCTGCAACCTCTCCTGCTTCCAGTAGCCTGCCAGACCAGCTACTCCACAGCCGGCTGTGGACGGTCAGGCATGGCGATCTGTGAATCCCGAAAGGAAGCCGGTGAATACTTTGGTCGATGC